TTGGTCTTTTTTTCTTTTTTCCTTTTCGGAAAGGTACAAGTATGATGATACTATTATAATATTATTGAATATAGAGTGTTATTGGCGAGAAGGGTTGTCGCAAAGTAAGCAAGTGGTGTCACGTCGGGAAAGGAAAAAGATCGAATCTATTCATCTATTCATCCAGAGCACACAGTATAATACACAACAGCTTCTCCCTAGCTTTCCAAGCTAAAATCTAACATAAGACAGCACCCTAGCCTTACGACTCTGCCCATAATACGCATCCAACTTCTCCGACTGATCCGTAATGTCCGAGTCGTGCGTTTTATCCGTTTGGAGGTCCATTTCATCCTATATATCCCATTAGCCTCGAGTCATGTCGCCCCCGCCCAAGGGCCACATATATATCCGCACTCACAGCAGTAACAAACTTTGTTCTGAAAACCATCTTGTACCCGGCGAACAAAACCACCATAAGCGGGATCCCGATGCAACTCTGGAACCAGTGCCCAGCATTCGCACGTCCCGTGACTGGTGAGGCGCTAACATAGATGTGGCAAACGAGCATGAAGAGTAAGGAAACGAAACCGAAGGCTGGGAGCCAGGGCCTGAGTGAGGCCTTGTAGGTGTACTTGAGGTCGAGGAGGTCTAGTCCCTGGGCCTTGATCCCGGCACGCCAACGCCAGTTGCTGGCGATAATCGTGGGCCAGCAGGTGAGGAATGCTATCCCAGAGAGAGAAGTGAACCAGGTGAATGCCGTGGCGGCGGAGGCGGAACAGTTCATGTAGGATAGGCCGACAGCGACGAAGGTGGTCGCCAAGATAGCTCGGACTCTGCAATCATCGGTTATCACTCTTGCACTCTCACCCGTAACACTTAAGATGAGGGGATTGCATACGGCCTACCACGTTCGTCCACCCTTCCGAATCCCCAGCGGGAAGAGATAAGGCCTATATCGGTCATGTTGTAGAGAACCCTGGACCCGGTGTAGATGCTCACACTGCCAACGCTGGAAACGCACAGCAGGACAATGGCGTTCAACACATCGGGAAGTACCCCAATTCCGGCCTCCTTGATGGCAATAACGAAAGGGCTAGCCTCGACCGCGCTGCCGGATTCGGATCCCAGCAAAGCCGGATTTCTCGCCGACACGACAAAGGTCAGGAAGAGGAGTGTGACAACGTAGAAAAAGACGGTGCGGAACATCAGTGTGCGGACGGCGCGGGGCATGGCAATCATAGGATCCTTGGTCTCGCCGCCCGCAACACCCGCAACCTCTGTTCCGCCGCATGCGAACGCTGCCGTTACGAATACGCTCGAAAGGCCTTCCTTGCACCGTTAGTCATAGCATTCTCAGTCGGGTGGGCGAGGTGATGTGAGGGGCTCATGATATCATTGCAACCTTTGAAACCGTTGACAATAGCTCCCTCTGCCCAATACTCTCCGTCATGAACCCTTCCCTCCGGTCCCCCACCCCCCATAATAACCCAAATCACGACAAGGAATACCAAAACGCTAACCACCTTAATGCTGCTAACCCAAAACTCAATTTCCCCAAAGACGCGAACGGGGCAAACATGGATCATGACCATAATAACGTTAAAGGCGGTTATAAGAATTGCTGCATGACCTGGATCATTGCTCCACCCTACGGGGAGCCAGTAGCCGACCAAGATCCGTGCAGCGGTGGCCTCCGTTCCGAATGCCCCGATCCAGCACGCCCAGTAGAGGATCCCGATTACGAAGCCCCAGGCCGGGTCAATGTAGCGGGCAGCGTAAGTGACGAAGGAACCGCTCGCCGGGTAGATAGTTGTCATTTCGCAAAGACATTCTAACTACCCCTTAATATCACTCCCTGAATAACAGCTGAGGTTGAGAAGCGGGCACTTACGCATCATGGTAGTAAGAACAAGGCCCAACCAAGCGAACGAGAGGACCAGCGACAATGGCCCACCAGTACTCAACGCTTTCCCACTCCCAATGAACAAACCCGTCCCGATGCTCGAGGCAATCGCCAACATTTGCAAGTGCCTCGCACCGAGCGCACGTTTGAGGTGTGGCCCCGTGCTTCCAGATTGCTCTTTGTGGAGCGGCCGTTCGCCCGATTTATTCTCCAAATCAGTCATTCTCGAAGCTGCAGCGAGGGAGAGCAGAGGTGGGCAGAAAGGGATGAGGAAACAAACCCGACGGGGAGGTCATGTGTTCTATATATTCAAAATCCCGAAGGGCAGGTACCTCAGTTGCACCCCACTACCCCCGAGCTGTCAAAGTCCAAAGAGTCTCTCTCCGGTACAGCGGGATGATCCGGTACACAGGCCAGGCTTTGATGTAAAGAAATTTAGAACTCACGGAGATCCATACGGGGTAACGAGGCATCCGGATCACCTAGATTTGGGATGGCGGGGTGTGATTGTATAAGAATAGTAGTCGAAGTGGTTAGTGCGTCACGAATGCGTGTATTGACCCATTTCGCCCGCTCTAACCCCAAAGAGATGCGGGGAAATGGTCCTTATCGCAAACCCCCCCGAAGGAGGGGGATAGTATTCGGCGGTAAAGCGGGGAACACTTTCCCAGGGTTCACAATCTGCAGCTTAGAGTGCGCTGGCCAGGTACTCGTATCCAAGTATCATACCGAACAAGAAATAAAAACAGGTCACCAGTCATCACTCGGATAAACTTACTGCCCCAATTAGGGAATCTTGCTATCCTAAACACTTCCAGGCCAACTCCCCTTCCAAGGAATGCCAATAGAGCAGCTAGGACGACAACAGGCAAGGCTTACCCCTTAAAAAACATGAGCCATAAGCCATGACGACCGGGACACGAGCGACACCTCCACTCAACCCCACCAAGCAACATCACCTTCGTATACAGCACGAGACCTCTTAAGGCATAGCTTGGCAAAATCTCAGGGGGGCTCTTGAAGCCACTGAGCTGAGAGAACAGTTCCGGTTTCGTCCGGGGGCATTGAGGAACCGAAGCGTGCGATTTTATGTAGAAAGAACCTTTCCAGACCCTAACTGATCGAATACGCTCTGCAATCAATTATTCAGGTATTTTAACAACCCTAACATCGCAATCGCTCAAAAGGTCTAGATACACTACCAGCGGGGGTGGGGAAAGGACGAACACAATTATATAGTGTCGTCTATATCCTACCTGTGCTTGTAATGTGCCACCTAGAAGGGCTACGCCACGAAAAAGCATATCTTGGCAGCCACAAATCCTCTATGAGAATGCCATGACATCAAATACTGAAAGGACAAAATACCTAGTGCTTCTGTGGCGGTGAACGATGGACAATTATCATACTACCGGTATACAGAACTAGTTCCGACCCTAAAGCACTCCTCCACGAAATCCCCCTACCAAACTAAAAAGCTAAAAGCTTAAAATAACTCGAAGAATCGGTTCAAAGAGCTAGAAGCTATCATTAGTCTGGGAATAAGCAGGGACATGGATATCGAACTCTTGCTCTAACTCAACCTCAGCTCCAGATCGATCTCAATCCATTTCTGGACAGCATGCTCATTAGCGCCGGGGCTGCTAGAGCACTTTATTCTAATATACTTGTGGGTTGTGAGAGTACCCTACTTGAGCTTATTTTCCTTAGATTTCCAAAGGTGTTCAAGCTCTATACAAGTAATCAGCTTCACCACTGCAAAAGGTTATCTGCGCAGTAAGTTAGCTGTATGCCCTTCTGAGCACCATATCGGACCAACTGGTACTCATTCCTTCACCCTGTTCGGATTCGATTACTGTTCTTCCTCGGTTTACGTAAGGACCACAGCCCTGCCAATTCCAAAAACACCTATCCAGAGCCCTCCAACGAGTATAATTACCCAATCGAGAATTTCTAGAAAAAACCCCCATCCATCCCCCTCCTCCCTTTCCCATGATTCCACGCCGAAGCAAACCGCGCCTCACTCATTCCTTCTCACTCGTATTCTACTATATCTTAGGGCTAGGGCATTGAACCCCTGTCGAAATAATCACAGGCCAAATGACCTCCAAGGCTCGGCGCCTATGACTCTCCCTCCCCCACCCTTAGCCATACAGCTGCAATAAATTCCATCAATTTATCATACCTAGTTCTGCTGGACCGCTCTACCCAATACCCCAAAAATGGGCTCCAAAGACTCCTTCACAGAATCAACATGGGATCTAGGAATCCACGACGCCCACTGCCACCCAACGGACACCATGTCCAAAGCTGGGACAATACCCGCCATGAAAGCTAAATCCTTAACAATAATGGGAACCCGCAAATCCGACCTCCCGCTCGTAGCTTCACTCGCGAAAGATTACCCGGAGAAGGTTGTCCCGAGCTTCGGTTACCATCCTTGGTTCTCCTACCTTATCTACGACGACACTGGATCCGCTGGTGAGAGGGTGGTAGATAAGCAAAATCACTACACCACTGTCCTAACCGGGGCCCCGACTGAAGACCTTGTTTCCGCCCTGCCCGCCCCCAGAAAACTAAGCTCCATCATAACGGAGCTCCGCAGCCACCTGGAGACCTTTCCGAATGCACTAGTCGGGGAAATAGGCATGGACCGGGGCCTTCGAATACCATTCCCGGAAAACACGAGTACGGAAGCGCATGCAGTGTATATCCCAGGAGACACCGAAGACGGGAAAAGATTGACAAATCACCGCGTATCAATGGACCACCAGAAGAAGATCTTTGTCGCGCAGTTGAAGCTAGCCGGAGAACTAAATCGTGCGGTCAGCGTGCATGGGGTTCAATGCCATGGCGCGCTGTTTGACATTTTCCGCGAGTTGTGGCGCGGGCATGAGATTGAGGTTGAAAGTCGGAAGGAGATGAAGAGAAGGAGGAGGAGGGTGAAGGGGGGGGTTGACAGACACGAATATTTGCCCGACATTGAGGAGTCGGAGGATAGTGACGACGAGTTCAGCGAGGAGGTGGGGAAACAGCAAGAGAAAAAACAGGAATATACGCCGAAACCCTACCCTCCGAGGATATGTCTTCACTCGTTCTCGGCCCCTGCCCAGACACTCCAGCAATACCTCACCCCACCATCTCCGAAAAAAAGGTACCCATCAAAGGTATTCTTCTCCTTCTCGTCAACCATAAATGCCCGGCCGGAAAAGGGGCATATGGAGAAGATTATGGAGACGGTGAAGAGAGTTCCCGGGGGTAGGGTTCTCGTGGAAAGTGATTTACATACCGCGGGTGAGGAAATGGACGCTGCGCTGGAAGGCGCTGTACGGGTTATTGCGGGGATAAAGGGGATGGGAATAGACGAGTGTGTGAAGGTGCTGGGGGAAAACTGGAGGGAGTTTGTTTTTGGCGACGTTTGATGGGCTATTATTATACGAGTGCCCGTAGTAAAGGCAGTACCATATTGACCCCTTAGGTCGCCAATCTCGGGATTCCGAGACAAAAGTTCTTAAGAATGATCAATTGCCTTCCTGACGCAGTATATCCTGAGTCATTTGGCTGTCCACAGACGTCACTCCATTACAAGTAGTGGTGTGTTTTATCACAGGCAACAATAAAGTTTTCTATACTCGTGCAACCAAGGCAGTACCGTAATCCCTCCAAACCTAGACACCACCATTTCCCGAGAATACTACCATTTCCCGAAAACATCACCCTCTCCTCCATACTCATAATAACTACCCTAAGCGTGTAATTCCCGCCTTCATAACCGCCCCGGATCGCTATCGTATATAGTAGCTTCCACCCCTATTCAAGAGTATTTGGTATGATACCAGCCTAGTAAGCTCTAACTTGTCTTGATGGGAGCTGCTCGTGCATGCTGACTGGCCGGGGCAGTGCAGGTATAGTATCATGCAGAGAGGCCAGCCCGGGAATAGATGGCACCTGTACTGTACCCAACCAAGCCCACCAGACCTGGACTCGGTCGTGCAAGGATAATCGAACTTGAGGTTAAAAAAAAGGAGAAACAACCCCCCCAATCTTACAGTATCTTTACTACAGGTTTTTACCGACCGATTGCAGCTGTAAGATCCTTTGCTACAAAAGCTATCTGGAGGGAAACTAATAAATATGCCATGCCTAGTTCCTTTTCAATGGGGGTCTTGCATTGGCACAGAAAATTCAGTAGGTTGATTGGGAGGGAAAAAATCGCCAGCAGACTCAAAGTCAACATACCGCTTTCTCTAAGGATTGCGGGTTTCTGCATGATATTATTAGTGAATCCTGGATGCTGGATTGTATGGCTTTTTTTCTGCTTTCAGCTTTTCTTTACCTCCCATTCTCCGTTTCTTTTTTCTTGGCATGCATGCCAGTTACTTGTACTTTTTGTGTTTCAGGGACTCGATGCTTTTCTGCTTTTATTTTTTATCTCGGAGCGCGGGGATGTGCGAGACGGGAGGACCCTCTCAATAAAAGTACTGGTAGCCGGGTACAGAGTCTCGATTACTACGAAGTTTCCTTCCTCCCGCAGGCTATGGGTTTCCACGCTCGTGAGCGCTCTCATTCCATGGAAATGCCGGAGTTGAAATACAGACTGGGTTATTTTTTGCCCTAATATGGAAGGGCTGGGCCGACTTGTGCTCTGTGAGTTCCATTTCCTCATCAGACTACGGTACCCCGGTGGTGCTGGTTGGTGTAATTGTCGGGCACCGGCGAGGGAAGGAGCTAGAGGAAACTCCTTGGTTGTTGGGTTGCCTACAGGGGGGTGGTGTCTTACCAGGAAGTACTGTACCGGTGCGAATCTGAATGCATGATTGGAAAAAAAAAGGATGGCCAAGAAACAATGACAGAATGCCACCCCCAATAACCGCGCCCTTGGACGTCCTATCATGGGACAAATTGCTCTTGTCCAAGTTAAGACGGCAGGATACGGTACTAGTACCGTAGGGTAAACGTGACCAGTATTGTGGCGCTGTACTGTACTGTACTAGTACAGTAGGACAATTCCTCCTTCTGGCCCATGATACTGCTCGTCAACAACGAAGCATACCCGGAAGGCTGGGAGGGGTGGGCAGAGGAAGGAAGGTCGAAAGGAGAAGAGCAAAAACAGTCGGCGAACATCCCTGACTTGGTGGGAAACACAGAGAAAAGCTCCCTGCGAGATCTCCACATCACCTAGAGATAAGTATTATTAGGCTGCAGGGGTAACGCCAGCTATTTACAATTAGGGAGCGAAGGTGCCTGTGCTAGCAACCAAGTGCCGTGCTGCGGAATACCTGTAACCTCAGAGTGCAGTTACTGTAAATTCGACTTTGTGCCATGAGCTTGTGTTATGATACTGCGCGCTGTTCCTGCTCCGGCCCTAAGTTACAGCCTCGTCCGCCTGGTCGGGTGGGCGGGGGGGCCTTTGCTGTTCGAGGGTCTCCACATTTCTGGGCTGGGGCCATTTCACTCGCAGCGTAGCATATCGTTGTATCATAGGAACGTTGTTGTTGCTATGGTACTGTACGCGCTGTGGCTTCAAGCAGAATTGGAGATAGCCCCACCATGGAAACGAACGAAGTTGGAGAGAAGGATCCGATGATGATTATTGCTCCGTGCTGGTGGAGTCGAGTCCAGTTAACCCCTTTCGATAACGGGCAAAGCCAAGGTAATCTCCACAGATAAGCTTCTACACAGCACCTAAACTGCCTCAACCACTGCCAATATCACGCCCAATAACCCACCCGCTATCTCTATCAACTACCGGTACCGCCATCAAAAAAGCTTAAACGACACACACCCAATTCAGCAAAAAGAGGAAAGGGCACAGCATGGTATATTAAAAGGGATCGGGAAAAATAAATCATACACACATCGGAAGGAAGGAAACAGTGAAAATCACCACGAAATACCGATACTCCAAAGTTCCTCCGACGCTGGGCCCCATTCCGCTAAAAATATATATAAAAAAAAAAAAATCAAAACTCCCAGAAAACCCCACAGATGCTGCAACCACCACGTCCTCAAAACGTGCGAAAGTCGCTTTTCTTTTCTTTTCTTTTTCCCCTTGGATTTCGGGCTCCCGCCTCTTTTGTTCACACAGCTTCGCAATAGCCGCTGGCATCGCCCACGAGTCTGTCCAGCGCCACGCCCGCTGCACATTCTCGTGCCTCGTTTGCACCCTCGAACTCTACGTCTGTCATTGAGACGTATTCTCGACCGTTTACTCGGACTCGACAGGAGTACATCCTAGGCGAAGGATGGTGGATTATGTAGACTGGAGGGGATATGTTTGATTGTTCGCAATAGTCTTTTGTCGAGGAGAATTAGCTTTCAAGAGGCGTAAATGCTGGCTCTTGGAAGGACAAACCTGAGAGCTTTTGTTGACTTCCTGTCTCGATGAAGAGTTTTTCGAATACTCGACAATTCATTATGTGGCTGGCTAATCGCATTGATGTCAACATCATTTTGGTTGAGGTTAGTTTTCCGAATTGTTTTTCTTCAGAAGGATACAGTAAATTTTGGCTGTGGTAAGCGCAAGGATTTATGACTGTGGTCGTGGCAAATCGGCCGAGGGGAGATGATAGCACAGGACAAGGGGCAAAAAAAACGTAAAGGCTGGAAAAAGGTTGTGTCGGAATGGTTTATATAAATGCCAAAATATCTTATGACGATCAGGGTCGGAATATGTACCAGCCGGCCTTTACTCGAGTCAGCAGGGTCAAAGTGCGAGGGGGGGATTTGGTAAATGGCAATTCTTTCCTAGCTTCTCCACTTCGCCAGCGTGGCACGGTAGTTTATTCGGGTTTTCGAGGCTGTGGGTGGGAAGCTTCAATCTCTATCGTGCACGGCTCCTGGCTGGGGGCATCCTGACATTAAAGGGTAACGGTGAGCACTTAATGAGCTCGTGGGACTTGAAAGTGGTATCCTAATTGCTTTTTCCTTTGGGCCTTCAAGACCAGCAGATATGTCCGCCCATTGCGTCAATCTCCCTCTCTCCTCCTCTTCCTCCTCAGCTCCCCACTACGGGAATCACCTATTGTAATGCGACGTCTCGGGGCCACTGAATCACTCTAAGTGCAGTTGGTACACTATATAAAACCGTTTCCCTTTGCTCACCTTGAACCGACTAATTGACCGCTATGGAGACAGAATCCACTTTACTCGTACAGTGCTGGTACAGCCTGCACCGCGTCTGTGCTTTTATTCCTTTTGGGGGGCTAGCGGGTCCCTGAGCATTCGGGACACTCCTAGCCTCGCCCCTCCTCCGCTTCTTATGTTCGCAAAGCAGTCAGTTCGCGAACAGTTCGGCGGATGGTTACCCTCAATGCAATTATCAGCCGCTGCAGATTGTTCTTTCTTATTTTTTATTTTTTTCCCTTTTTCTTTTAGGGCCGGGCGGGCATATCACCTTAATCCTCTGGCATCCTCCGATCTCGTTCCTGCTATCATACACCACCTTTTCCAACCGCCTATTCCACCCCCTATCGCGATTGGGTCCTTGAGTTTGGACTCCCGTTCTGGTGACCTATTTCCCTGCTGGCCTTTCCCACTCGTTCGTTGAGGAGCCTTGAGGGTTCCACCATTCTTGCCGGACGGGAATCCAGTTTTATCTATGATTTCTCAATCGGAGGTACCATACTTTATATGTCCGATCTTGGCGCAAAAATCTAAGCTATTGTAAAGCCTGTAATACTACTTTGATTAGTTATGGTGTTCTTAAGTGAGTTGTAAGTCATAAAAGTGGCCCATTTTTGGTGAAAAAACCCAACTATGATACTCCTTTTTGTGCTAAGATCGTACGTATGATATGATACGTACAGTACTGTAGAGTACCGTGCGTTGCCCAGCTTGCGCCGGCGGGGCCTCGTTTAGACACTTACTGCCCTGTCTATCTGCAAACCCTTTGGATGAAGCCCGGGCGAACACAATCGTGACGACAATCATATACGAACACTTGGGTCTTATCAATACCTACGGGTATAACAACACCTGAAACAACCGCTTTGTGCATAATGCTTATCATGCTGCGTTCCCCGAGAACCCTCAAGATCCTCCCCCACTGAGTCCTTTCTCTCTCTGTTTTTTTTTCTGGACCTCCACAAGGTATGAAAAAATTTGCACCGCGTGCATACTTCGGACTTTGCCATCATGCTTACCGTATCGTACCTGTTTCCATCTCCTCTTATCATGTGGTGATTAGATCTTATTAACTCATGGACAGAGAGCAGGTGCAATACGGTAGGTGCGCACCAGCAAGTTAACTGACATATGATAACCCCAGCGAAAGCATCCCCCGGCCGTTTAGCAGAATTGGGTCTCTTGGTCCGACGCTGCGCGGCTGTCTCGTGTTATCGTAAGATCAGCGTTATTGACACATCGGAGCGAATGCAGCCAGAATGGCCACGATTGCCAGATTCGGCCCTTTCGGCACATCGATTTAGAAATTCCCTGGTTTTGTTGCCGTCTTAGGTGCTAATGGGGTACGGGTAACTCAGTTGTGGAGCAAAAACTCAGAATGCAACAGATGAAGCTAGAGCAGTTACTCCGCGGGGACCGGAAGATCTCTGTTTCAAAATGTCTTGATCGGCTGAAAGAAGGTTTTCTTTTTATAGTCCCAACCAGTCGGGGGCTCCCTCTAACATGGGGCTCGGGGTGCTCGTGCCTTTGTCCCGGATCATCGTCCTATATAGGAGAGCGCTAGCGTAATAGTTCGGGATGACTATAGTGTCACGGTGCATTTCCACAAAACTGCCTTTCCAAAACGGGTGCACGTACCGGTGCCGCTGAGAGATCTTTTTTCTCCTATCCGATCTCGTCGCCTACCGGTATATCGGCCGTGGCGTAGGATAGAGCGTGTATCCAGGACCCCCCACCAGCACCAGTACCGGTAGTGCACATGGCCTCAGTGGTAGTGATGGTGGACGGGTGTGGGATTGCGGGGCAGTCTCTGATGGATAAATACGGTTTTGTCTGGGTTTAATAAGATACCGTAGCTGGCTGGTGTGTCATCTGCAGCAGACCAGGCACCGCACACGGATGCTACTCTTCCCGTTAGCATCTGATTTTCGACTTACCCAAGCGTTGCTGTCATACCGGTATGATATCGGCACTCTACTCGCGCAAGTGAGATCAGGGCCTTTGGGTAACGAGCTTGGAGGGTGCCTTCCAAAGAGCACTAGAGGAAAATTGGGCTTTAACATATACGGGTAGAGTAACATACAGTACTAGTATGATATGATACCAGTAAATCAACAATTACAGGCTAGATGCCACCCGACCCTCTCTACTCAGCCCTTCAAAGTCCAGTTGTGCTCTATTCATATTGTTGAAATTCTTGATTGAAGTTGTATTGCTTGCTTGATTGATCCTCTCCCTGAGGGGCTATAGGTTCCTAGTTATGCTACAGGGGGGCGAACTAAAACAGTACCGGTACATAACATACCGGTAATCAAGGTTGTATATAAGACAAAAAGAAAAGTCAACGACAAGAGCATTACTAATCCTACAACAGAAAGGAAAAGTGAGTGAGATACCACTACAATAGAGTTCCGAAGGAAACTCCATCATAGTTAATGATGGAACATGTTTATCTACTGATGAACAGGTACTGATAATGATGACAGAAAATCTGTCATCATTGAATATGCAGCCGATGCATATTCCAAAGTCATATTAAAACACATAACCCGAGGTTAGGTATGAGTGACTGACTGTGTCGCAAGTGATGGAATTCAATGTGTAGTCTACCGTAGCATATGAGCCTAGGGAATCTCAGGAGTCAGTTTTCCCGTATCTGAATTGACTATGGGAGCCCCTGTGCTCGGGCACATAGAGTGTCTTGTACTACGGTATTGCCCCCAGTAAGCAGTACCTTGCTGTGCTCAATATTACGGTTCGTGTCGTAAGTTACAGTACAGCACAACACTCATTACCAGATCTTACCATAATTTAATTTGTGACAAGGCGGAAGCGGCTCCCCGGCAAGCTTTCTCCCAATTTGTCGGAGGTGACGTTTCAATACCGTTATCTCTCCAATAAATCAATCGAGTGTATCTCAGGGGAGTGGTTATCCCCATTGAAATACCCGCCATTTCTATCACCACCGAAATAGCAAACATGCCTCCACTCACTCTGGAAATTTCCCTTTCAATCATCTATCCAACCACGACGACTCCATTCTCTGATGGATCCGTCAGGATCGATATCACCGCTCCCGACCAGGCACATAGGGGAGATGTCGTTCCTCAACATCAGCCCCCGCCCACGATTCTGCAAACCGGCCCATCACACCCGATATACCGCCTTCCTCAATCCCTCTCCTCTGGGGGCATGAAGATTCACTTGAATGCTTACGCTGCGTCGGGGGGAACCCCCGAGGTCATGTCCCACCGCGAATTGGCCCGCTCCTCCCGCACAAGCATGATTGACAAAGATCATATTCTGTACGAGATCACGAAGGTGCCTGTTGGCTCCGATTACCGCCTTGAGTGCTTTCGCTACGGTAAAGGCACCGGAGCGTACGGGTTCGGACTGATGTCTTTCGTCAGTGGGTGGCTGTCTGGTGGCGTTTGGAACGTTGAGTATAAAACTCAAGCCTCCGGGGCCAAAGTCGAGACCTCTGTCAAGATACAGATTGATGACGGCGGCTCAGAGCATGGTGTTTGGAAGTTGATTGAACCGGTCCAGAAGGTGGTTGCTAGAGAGAGACCTCCGAGAGAGGGAGAGTACGGTGAGAATGGGCGCTCTATCGAGATTTTTGAGGATGATTTTCATGGGCAGGGGATCATGCCCGGGGAAGAGTGGAGGGACTTCATCGTTGCTTGTTGGATTACGAAGGTTTGGAGAGAGGCTACGAGAAAGCCACTTTTTGAAACATCAGTGAGAAGCAGCACTGAAGCTGGTACCCTGCGAACTTGGTAAGGAGGTGATGGGAACTGCCGTTCGTACTGTCCCCAGACCACTCAGGGGGGAGGGGAATTAGGTGTTTATAATCTTTGACATCTTGAGTGTTTATCAGGCATTACCAGATTCAGAGGGAAAACGTTTAGGTGGGGTTTTGAAAAATATGAGGGTTGGGATCCCCGTTGCGATCCGTATCTTTAGTATTCCATTGAATACGCTGTAAAGTCCCTTCTGTTCCCGCCTGTTCTATGTTATTGTCCGTTAATTGATCATGCTTTATTCTTGCTCTAGAAAATTATTTTCGCAGAATACTGCATTATCCATATCATCATCATTGTACGGTAGCAGTTATTACTTTTGCGGGATGCAGCCTACGAAAAAACTTAATATAGATAAAAGCGATTGCGTATAGTACCTGTATCATTCGCGGTTCTTGATCTGGGGCCTTGTATGATATGCTGTGTCGTGGAAGGCTTGCGTATCCCGTATCGCTAGTTTACCTGAACTTCGTATCCACCAACAAACCCATAGTCTCCCATACCCTCACTCTCTATGCCCCCGACCCCCCTGCCCTCTATCACTTACCATTTGTACCCCCCCCCCCCTTCATCAAATTCATAGTCATTTGCTTTCCAGATTCCTTACCTTCCCCCCCTACTCTATTCCCCATCTATAACCCCCGCCAAAGGGCCCCTGTAGTACCGGATATGAGGCCCTCATCTGGAGAGACCATAAGCTCGGGCTCCGACACTGCCCGGGAAGCTGTAAGCGGTGACGATTCTTGGGCTTCGGTTGAATCTATTGATACTTCCTCGGTAGAGAGATATGGGGGCACCGCTGGCAATCGATACCAAGCTCGGGATGGGAATGATTTGTCCATCTCAGAGGCCGACAAGGCTGGGCGAGATCCAGAACTATCTTTTACTTTTGACAAGGGATTTACAAGCCTATCTACAGTTCCGCAGCTTCCATATGCAGGTCTTCATTCCTCCCATTCGGAAAGTTTATCTTGGGAACTCTCAGGTACGTCCTTCAGAGCTTCTAGTAACTATAGCTAAAATTTTCTGTTTTCACCCGCTAGAAGATAGGAGTTTACTTGAACGTAAAGGTATAGTACCGTACACTTCTTAAAACTCAAATTCCCCCGTGAAACATAAGCTAAGTTCTTGCAGTCAGCATGGACAGCCTCGCTCGGTCCAGGAGCCCATTTGAAACACTTCCTAATTCACCTATATCCAGTTTGTCGAGAAGTAATTATTATAAGGGCCTCGGATCTCGCCGCCCTGGCGATCTCTCGCCCATTTACGAAGGCAGCCAGAAGCTCTTCATTAGCGCACCAAGACCAGCGCCCGAGAATTTAATTACCCGCTCCACACCGTGTCCCGATGAGCTATGTCATGTCCCGAGAGATATTCCCAAGAGGAAACACACTTTAGAGAGTCCAGAGAGCCCTGGTGGTGATGTCTTTTATTTTTCACCGGAGGAAGACCCGTGTAACTCCTTGATTACAAGTAAGGACAAATTCATAATCATTTTCTGTCACTCGTTTATTTTATCTCATGACTCTGACTGGCCTACTTTATAGACGATCCCATCAATACCACGAGCTCGCGATTCGATGAGTCATCCTCAATGCGACAAAAACAGCAGCTCGACGTCGGACGTCATAAGGATTCCGAGATACCAGCAAGTACAGGGGATGGATTCGAAAGTTAGTGATACATTCCCAACCACTTCCAGTATTTTGTTATTTGGAGACTGAGACTTGGTTTCTCAAAGGTCATAGCCCTCCTAGCCTCAACGCTCTTGAGGTTCCTCGTCCTTCGCTTCCTAGACCTCTAACTGGCTATGCAAAACTCATCCCTAATAACTGTCGGAAGAATCGGGAGCTGAGTAATCCTCAGCCCTGTCCCGCCCCGGATTCCAACAGTAGTTCGGGACAAGATTTGGCTTGGAGCACCGTCCCCAGTGGGCCTCACTCAATTTCCGGACCAAGTCCTAGGCTCCCCGGTTCTACAACGCCGTTAGAAAGAGATACTGGGGAGAACATGAAAAATCCTAATTCTTCAAGGCGAAGGGCGTTAGATAAACTATATGCATCTTTGGAGCTTGACGAGTATGGTTAATGATTCACCCCTAAATCCAAAAAGGCTAATATCTTCATAGCGCCACCCATGAGCAAGAAGCATTCGCTGTCTGCCCAACCCCGAAGCAAGATCTGACCCTCCGTTCCCCCATAAATGGGGGGAACACTTCTATGTCCAATCGGACCTCTGTCAAAGCCCATCATCTCCAACTTAAAGAACCGGATGGCCCCATTACCACCAGCCTCGGGGTTCAAGCCTCACTTAAAACTAAGCGAGCTATCAGTCCGAGGAATAATAAGATCGTAGTGGGAGAATTTGTACCGAATTTCGTTGACAAAACCGAGAAGCATGCCAGCCTGAGGGGTGAGATGGAGAGAATCTTGAACGAACCGGACAATCCGAGGAATAGGGGGAGCCCATTAGTTGCCGGTCCTAGCACGAGAGCAGAAAATCAAACACTAACCGCCTCACTATCTTCAGCTTCCTCTAATGCATTGCAAGAGATGTTGGATTTTTTGACCGCTCAGGTAAAAGCACTTCAGAGAAAATCTGATAGAGAAAGTCCATGGAGCAAGCATTTTCCTGTCACTAATGCCGGGTCTATCCAATACATGCCTAAGGATACTGAAACCTATGCATTCGAGGATTGTTCCAATCTTCCGAAATTGATTGGATGTACCGGTGTTTTCCTCGATACCCTCACGGGCGCTTCTAATAGCGGATTTTGGGTAGATCCAGAATTATTTGTAACCTCACTCCGTTTTCGTGAGCGACCAGTGAGTGATCATGTGGTGGATCGCGACCCCAGTATGGTTCCCGAAAATTCGAGATACTTTGTTTCCCCCAGCAACACTGGAATGCTCGAAGACCGCGTCCCTGTCCTTTTGAAAGCATGGGATACTCCGGCCAACCTCGCAATCTTCCAACTAGCCTCTGATGGTATAGTCCAGCAATGCCATCACGAACACATTGGGATAGAGAACCTTGTTGAAGAGCATGAACTTCTATCTACCTATAGCAGTCAAATATGTTCAGATGACAACATTGCCGCTGTTGGCTATATAAATGCACGCCCCAAGCCACAAGAGAGTACAGCGTCCTATGATCCCAGATGTAGGACTAGCTACTTGGGATTTAATGTATAAATGCATCTTTCTCCAAAGACCATATCATATGCTAACACTAGAGTAGAGTGGTAAGGACACACGTATTCGAACCGTGTGCTCTATTAATCGGGTCCGCCAATCAATCAAGGGAAGTGAGCATACAGCAGGTGTTCTCACGGCGAATTGCCTCTTTCCGCAGAACTTTTATGGTAGCCCTTGTATCATCAAGAAGTCAGGATTCGTGATCGGAGTAGGTAGGCGATACTCAATTCCTATGGCCTTTTCATGGAGAGACTAACATAAAATAGTTAATGGCCCGCACGGTGTAAGCAACACTGGAGACATTAAACTCTTTCCCACGGGGTTCAAGAACAAGTTGAGATGGTTTGCTTTGTAGAACAGGTTTTATTGCGATGGAATTTTCGTAAATCGTCTGTTCTTTCGTCTCTTTCTCTTCTGTTCGCACATGGTAGAAAGCTTGGATAGTGATGAACCGACGATTGCAAGGCGTCTTATTTCTTTCCCTTCCCTTTTTTGCCCTCGCGTGGCTATCATTGATTGGGTAGCCGTTCTCCCCCTTTTTCTATCGGTGTGATTTAAGCGGTAGTTGGGGGTGTTCTATTACGATTGGGCTTAGACAAATTTCGAGGAGCATTACTGTATTATCATGCAGGGCAGCTGGATCAGTTTGGAGTCATGAATTATCACCCGAATTGAATCATTGCATGCTGCAATGTAGTGCTCCTCTATGACAGACTTCTCAATGCACCACGCCAGACTAGGTCCTGCCTTTCTCAGCCAAACCTACCCCTTTCCATCACAGATATTCCGACTGTGATGATTCCTTTAAACACCAGGGGCTCCTATCGTTATGATACCAAGCAGTGGTCAATGTATATAGTTTCTCTTCCCCCGAAGGTGTATGTGCTCCTGTAGTGTATGTAGTCTGTGGGCGGCAGCGCGGACCGTCACCCTTGACTTCACTCGGCGGAGAAAAATATACAGATTAACCTGCTTGCTTTCAGGCGAGCTAAGTATTCGCTCCCACAGGGGCATTACATGAAACACATATCTTATCTGGCCGAGTCGGTAATTAGGATGTGCCGAGAACCAACCAACACCCTGCGCAGTCAATTCACAGGAGCCTAGGTGTTTCAATTCAATTCAATTCCCCTTCGTCATGGGTTATCATTTGGAAACCTACCGGGTAGGGCAGGCATGAGAATTAAGAAACCCTACTTACTCTTATAGAGTGGGGAATTGGTAACATTATCATAGCCTATCTCACCCGCCATGGCACTGTAGAGTACATACGAAGCGGCAGCTTCCGACTCTGGACCATATGATACAAGCCATCATTTTAGATGGGGGGTTATGAGACAAGAATCAAGAAACAAAAAAAAGTATGATATTTCCCCTTCTTCGATTTGGAAATAAAGTGAATGAGAGGAATAGACTCTCTCTCTCTCGCTTCCTCTATCATAATATCATATCCAGGACGCAATTCCTTCCGGATCACTATAACCATTGGATAACTTTGTTGAAAGGGTAGTAATGATATCGGCTGTCCAGCCGGCAAGCGCCATTCAGAGAGCCCTTTAGTAACGCGATGGAGTTTCTGTTTTCCGGACATTTTTGTGGGTTCGTTCCTCCTGCATCTTATTCAACTCGCCTGTTTCCGCTGGGGTATGATACGAAGGATGTCCCATACATATCATACCTACTTCCTCTTGAGGAAAGAAGAAGAAAAAACTCCCTCCCTCCCTTCCTTACTAAGCGCGGTGTGAAGTACTGTACAGTGTAAATTAGATTATCAATCACTCCGGCTTGGAACACGAACTCACATGAAGGGTGGTACAAGTATCACACGTAGGTTATACTTTGGTACGATGTTTTCATTGTCGATAACTTATTCCCGCGAGCGTCGTACCTTGAAGGTATGAATGAAGATTTTACTTCCCGCACTAGCTAACTTGCGATACTCGCACTCACAGCCCCAGCGCGCTCTATCCAGTCGTATCCAAATAACTCTCCTCAGCGCAAACAACTCGAACGAACGAACGAACGAACGAACCCGTTTCCAGTGCTATGGGTGCCATTACATGTTTTCCTTCCCCCCCGCGCTAGATACGAGTACCGGTAATTTAGAATCTACATCTCCCGCGGTCTTCGGTCCCTCCCTCCCTCCCTCCTCGTTCGTCCGAGAAGTGGATGGATGGTACTGGAGTGAGTGGGGTGTGTAGACTATATACCGCGGAGCTGGTAGAAGACATGATGTCTCGTGCGGTATCAGTATATCTCACTCGGCCAGCCGTGTAAACAAGAAACCAATTACCAATCCCGACAATAAAAAAGAAGAAGTAGTCGAGTGCACCCTATTTCCCAGATGGCCGGGCAAATAACTGTATCGTGGGGTACGCATGGCTCGAAAACCCCGGACGAAAAAATATACGACATCGGAAACCACCGACTCCCGCACCTTCGACAGAGATATATGATAGGTATCATATACAAAACTTGAGCCCGATCGACCGGTCAACCAATTGACTAATTTACAAAGCGCTAGCTACAATAGTTGCACACCGCTCGCTCGTAGTGCGTGTGCCAAGTCTTCAGGTTGTCGAGTGCTATTGCACCCTTTTCAGGTTAGGTCCGCGCTGTTGGAGCTGGAAGGGAAGGGAATGGGAATGGGAGTGGGGAGCTGGGAAGCCCCGGTTGCTGCAATTCGTGTTGGACGGCACGATGGGCTCGAAGTCGCCGGTAATAAACGGTGTGTTCCGTGGTGGAATATTATGATAATAATTTATTATTATTTATTTTTATAGGGTTCTGTCGCAAGTGAGGTTGTTCCGTGTAGGGGCGCTGCTATAGTGCCGGACACATATGATAGGACGTGTATCATAGATCCAGCGCACCCTGCTCCTAGGGTTAGTCAGAGTCGATTTCAATCCGGTTTGTTGGGTTGAGTAAGTTATTGTTCATTGCCCAACACCCACAAAACGATTCTTCAGCGTAACCCGACGCTCTGATGGCCAAGCTGGTAAGGCGCCACACTAGTAATGTGGAGATCCTCGGTTCAAATCCGAGTCAGAGCATTACTTTTTTTTCACTCATCCGAGACAATTTGAGTCAGCCACAACCTCTCTCCGTACTTCAACAGCATCACGGCTATCAGCTCTCAATTCAACACCGAAACTTTCTATTTCAGACCCAGTACAAGACCAATTATCCATCCCATCATAGCCCCATCCATTCTTCCTCCCAAACCTATTCCAAAGCCCCCCGTACCCTGCCCACTACGGGCAACGCAGAGCAAGAGACAGGAGAGAAAAATCAAATAGAATAGAACACAGAATAGACGTGAAACAATCAACCCCTACCGAGTGGCAAAACCACCCCATACCGGTATCACCCACGACATTATTATGCACAGCGGACGACTATCCATCTGGAGTAGGAAATGTGTGTGTCCTTTATTCATTGTCTGGACCGAAAAGCGCACCTACCGTTGGCGGAGACCACATCAGTCCAACAGATCGATGCATTCGCGGAGCCAGACGGGAGAACCCGTATGGATGCCAATCGCCTCAGCTAGAATATATAACACTGCTTACAACTTACCACTACTGAGTAGTAACCGTGCCATCAACCTCCAGGCTCTGCACATGTCTATGAGTCTCCAAGGTGGAAACCTGGTTAACAGGGAGTTCGCACCTGTAAAACATCGATCAGTTAGCTGGTTGGCTCAAATGATAGTGTGGGCTGCGGAGGCAACATACGAGAACCCCCTGATTAGCGAATACTCGTGAGTGATTTTCCCACCTTGGGCGACGATGTCGTCCTTGATCTTTAGCAGTTCCGAGTCGGAGGTCTCTGGCTTCACGGTTATCTATTGACAGCAGCAGTCGAGTTAGCACTATGCGGACGGAGCAGGGGGAGGGGGACGTAGGGTGAGAAGTACGATATAGGAAGGCATTTTGAGGATTTTCTTTGGGAGATGTTTTCGCAGTGCTTTCGTTTTTGCGTTTGTGGTTCGTAACTTGTGTGGTTGTTGTCGATGTTGATGTTGTAGAAGAAGAGGGAGACGAGGGGAAGGTAAGGCGGGAGGGGCTTTTTATCCAGTTCGGCGAATATTCGCGGGGTAATTAGACAGGGAAGAATGGGGGTGGTGACGTGCGACTTTTTGCCCTTCCCTGTCCTGACTGGTCGATCGGCTTAGTAAAGGCCTTTTGAGATGTATGTAATACAGCAGGTTTTCGGATGCAGAAGGAAATGTTTCCGATTTCCTTGAAAGTGCTAAGTTATTATACAAGCAAGCACCGGTAGGGTACTGTACCATTACTTGCACTGCTCCCTCAAGGGTACCCATTCTAGCGGGAGTGGTGGAGTTAACCACAAGTACATACCAGCCTGCTCGAGCACAGTATTATACAGTACAGTACTTGTGTAATAAAGTTAGTAAGTTACAGTGCTCGTACGTACAGAGCGGTACAGTACTTGTAGCTCAAGTCAAGAAGCAAGGAAGCAAGAAAGCAAAGGGAACGAGCAACAAACAGGGAATGAAATGGGCTCGACCACAACACAGGTAATTATGGTAATGACGCTATAGTCCGAGCACATATCATACAATAACCGCTCCTACACGCTCACACTATCTTGGCGCACAAAGTCTCACTCGCTTCGCCTCCCTCTTTCACACACACACAATCTCTCAAATCAAATTGATTCCATCACTCGCTCCCCCCTTTTTGTCAATGGTGTGCATGATACTAAAAGCTAAACCCCGTCAAGCCCCACCCCCTTCAGCCTCAAATACACGTCAGTCCCCCATTCATATGCGCTCTGCACCTTCAAGCTGCCGCCAAAGTACTGCGCGTATGCCCTACTCATCGGTAATCCGTAACCCAACCCGGCGATGGAGCTAGTTTCTAGTGCACCCGCGCTCTCGGTAAACCTGCCCATAACGTCCACCCCCCCGTCAGCGCCGCCGTCGTCCACATCTTCCAGACGTCCCGAATTTCCCGACCCGATGGATGAGCGGGAGCCGTTGAAAGTGCTAAAGGAGTATGACCATATGTGGCAGAGGTCATCAGGCGCTATCCCGCCGCCCTGGTCGCGGATCCGGATTGTGATGCCGCCGGCGTCCGGCGGGCCGGGTGCTGCTGCGATGGTCGCGATTACGGGAACAGGGGAATTTGCTTCGATTGTGGCACGGAAGGCGTTCTTCAGGAGCTCCGTGATTATGTACTCCAAGTGAACGGGTATGTAAGGGAACGTGATGTCAGGGTTTCCGTCGATGGTGAGTTTAGGTCTGGTGCCATATCGCAGCTCGCAGATATCCCCGACAAAGGAAGCGCACGATTCGATGATCTCCGCGGGGCGGAGTTCAGTGTCCACAGTCCCTATATAGGACTTTCCGGGGACGCTTACGGTCGGCGGCTGCGGGACCGAAGCAAGGTGTAGACCGATGTGCTGCTCTGCCATCAACCGGGTGCCAATACGAGCTCTCAAATGGTGGTCGAGGAATTTTGTGGCTTCTTCCGGGGTAACGTACCCACGACACTCCAAGAATCCCTTTGCTAGGATGGGAATTGTATTGCTGTGCGTCTTGACGATTTCCGTCAGGAGCTCGGTGAACTTGCTCTCCTCGGTTAAGTTGGTCAAGCTCCCCGCGGGAAAGGCAAGGATGGCGGTGAGCGAGTCAATGTAGTTATTGTAGATTGTTGAAATGTTCGGGTTCGAAACGATAATGTAGGGAAGATTTCGCAAGGCTCGGATCCGTCTCGAGAGGCGGACGGGTAGGTATTCCCTCGTAAAGCGCGCAGAGGTAAGGAGAGATTGGGTGGTTAGTGGAGGACGGCCGAAGCTGGAGGGAGAAACAAGCTTTTAATTTAGGTAGGTAGAGATGGTAACCGGGGTGAACCTACCGAATCAAGTCCTTTAAGCTCAACCTGTCAAGATTTTTTGCGGCCAATTGCGCGATCATATCGTTTGCCGGACTGGTCGTGGGTGGAGTATACCCCTCCAAGGAACCCCCAGTCCCACCATGTGAACTAAAGCTGGTCGAGACACGACGCACCAGCGTGCGCTGCAAAGGTTTCGCAGCAGCGACACGGAACATCGCGGCGGTCATGTCCCTGGCTGTGAAGCGTGCGTGTGTGGAGGAAGAGAGGAGAACAATCAGGAGAGGGAGAAGGAGAAGAGGAACAAATGGAGGGGTGAGTAGGGGGTGGATTGGCTAAACCCAAGCCAAAAAGTTCGGGTGTGTTATCGCCAGCGATAAGCCTCAGTGGTTGATTTTACTTGGGCATGATAATTTACCGGTATCACAACTACGAGTACTAGTACGTACCGTGCAGTATGATACTATAGTACTCGTACAACACGGAACACTCCAATTCAGTAACAAGTAAACAACGCTCTTGCCTCTGAGCCAAGAATTGCCATCCCTTTGCTCTTCCCATGGGCCGGTACTAGTACCAGTAAGTTAGTTGTTGTCATGACGAAAACGGTATCATATCGTACCAATTCCCGCCGCGGAGATAAGGGCACACGGACGCCATGCTGTGCCTATCCGCAAGTATCATACTCCTTCGCGTCACATTCCAGCAATCACAATCTCGCACTCGCCTAATCCCAGTTTCCTCCCGCCAACAACCCACCCAAGCAATACAACCCCCCTCCCCCCCCCATGCGCTCCACGATTCCCAAGGCTTTTAACTTCAAGCGCCTTCTACAGTATGTTGCCCCCCAAAAAATTCCTCACAGAGATATGGGTGATAGCCGCACATCATGAAACCAAAACCGAGCTATAAATAACCCAGCGCTTCCAGCGGACCAGACCATACTGCGTGGAATGGAACTGCTCCTGCTGCCATGAGCTGAGGCACCGCACAAATACACGAATCAAGTCCCACGAACGGTTCCATAACGCAAGTACTATGATAATTACGCTGTGCTGTACAAGTGGTACCCTAGGGAAGTGTAAAAATAAATACGCTACATACCAAATCACTAGCAACGGTCTACCAGCTCGATCCGGCCAATCTGTCTACTCAATTAACTACCGTATAACTATATAGCCCAAGGTAAACTAAACTAAACTAGAGTAAAACACCACACTCCCTTGTTTCATCCGTGTTATAGAATAGGACAGAAAAATAGGAAGAAAGACTAGGGATAATAAATAGGGAGACGAAATAATTAGAGTACAGTACAGGCTTTACAAATTGAAACGCTCCCGTGTAGCATGGAGGTCGTGACAAAATGGCGGGGAGAATTATATAGAGGATAGGATCATTCTCGTGTAGCTAGCAAAAAAAAATTTTTATCAAAATCTCTCCCCCCCCCTCTTCCTCCTCTCTATTACTTCTTCCCCCCCCCCCCATCCTTTACTTTTCTCATTTTTTGTTCTTTTTTTCTTTTCTTTTTCTACTTTTAAGAGCACACATAGATCCCCCATATCACACATATTATTTTCTCTCATTCATCTGGAAGCCAGCGGCCTTCGTCATCCTCGTAGACGTCATCGTCTCCATGGTCGTTAGAATTGATATGGTGATGGTGAATAGCACTTGAACTTGCTGCTGAAGTGCCGTTCTCTTCCGTGTCCATTCGGCTTGGATCCTCAGATTTGCTAGGGGATGGGTTGGGTGGTGGTGCATTGAACCAGGCCAAGGTTACTTCACCGACGTTCGGGATGTCGTTTCCGGTATAGATGAACTGCTTTAATGTTAGCCCTAGGTTTGATGAAGGAAGGAAAGGGAAAAAAGGAGGTAGCAGAGGATAGGGGAATTGACCTTCTCAGCAGTTCTTCTATCCTTAAATGTGACGATTTGTGTGTCATCTTTGTCGGGATGCGGTTCAATGCCCTCAACCTCTAGGCCGGTGTTCTGTAGGAGTTAGTGCAAAGTTTTCTACAAAACCACTTGGATAAGATGTGATTCTCACCATAAGGTAGTGCCTGAACTCCTCATCCTTACCACCCCTAAGATCAGCAGCACTGACAGTAATTTTTCGAGTACGATTATCCAATTTCAAGGTACCACCTCTACCTCTAGCAGTTGGGAACGCTCCACGACCCCCATAAGATCCATAAACGGGAACATAGACTCCCCTTCCTCGGGGAGCATACCCGCCTCTCCCCCTGAATGGAAACCTGCCGCGACTTCTTCCTCGGTAGGAGCCATACTCAGGAACAGTATCACCACCCTCAATCCCCAGAGATTCTGCCTCTGCCTGGAGGGCTCGCAATTGCGCTTCGAGGGCAGCAGTAGTAGCGGCCTGAGCATCAGTCTTAGAAATGCCCCCAGCGGCCGGGGACGTCCCGGATGCCGGGGGCGAGGCCGAGGCGGCGGCACTTCTGGCTCGCTTTTTGGCTAATTTTTCTTCTAGTTTGCGCTTCTCTTCCAACTGCATCCTCTGGAGCTCTTCTTTCCTTCTTTCCAGCTCCTTCGCGGCTTCTTCATTGGCCTTTTTCTTGAGCATTTTCGCCTCGTGAGCCTTTTGGGCTTCTTCTTGCTTCTTTTTAAACTCCTCCATATCAATTTCCATTTCATCGGCGACAGGAGACGGTTCTTTATGTTTGACCACTGGAGCCGTCGTAGTCCCATTCTGCTCTGCATTAGGTTTATACCAGAATACCTTCACGAACCTATTATCGAATATAGGGGCGGGGGAGTCGTATGCCTTTCTGGCCATGTCCCAACGCTCAAACTTCACCGTGGCAAGCCGTTTATCCGCGGTGACATCCACTTTCAAAACAGTTCCAAACTCCGAGAAGAACGCCCTGATGGCCGACTCCTCCAGTTTATCGTCGGGAATATGTTCAACCACAAGCGTTGTATTACTGCGATCATAGGAAGGTCCGGTACCCGAGAATTCGGATCGAGCACCTCTGTTTCCGCCGCCGCCGCCACCACCACCTCCTCCTCCTCCGCGATTTCCCCTACCTCTACCACGGCCTCTACTATCTCCATGAGCCCTGTTGTTATTATTATTGCTATGATTATTCTGAGTAGGTGTATCAGCAGAGAACAGCTGCGAATTGTTTGGATCATATTCTGCCAAAGGGTTAGCCATAAAAAAGGCTGCTGCGACGAGCGGAAAGGGAAGGTCCCAACCATCCGCAGCAGAGGCCTCTGTTGGTACAACATAGCGATCCATTCCATGCTCATACGGACACATATCGCCCTTCATGCAGAATCCTTTCTCATCATAATCCTTGCACCTCTCCCCAACCTTTTCAATAGCTTTCTTTTCTTCACCCTTTCCGACCGCCGGAGGGCCGATTGGTGGGAAACCACCCCATGCCACCGCAGCGGCCTGGGCGGCCAGATATGCACCCATAGGATCACCAGGCCCAGGAATAGCCCAGGGAAATCCAGGGGGTGGGATGGGGGGCATACCGAACTGGGGAATAGCCGGGGGAACCGGAGGGCCACCAGGAGGAACAAACGGAATCTCCACGGACCCTTGTGGATGACCGTATCCACTGCCGCCACCAATGCCACCCCTTCCAGGGCCTCCTCCGCCAGCATGACCTCCACCACCGTTCCCATTCCCGCCATTCCATCTCCCGGGACCACTCGGAGCACCACCACCGCGTCGCGGCGCTTTGTAACCTCTCGCGCTCCCCATACTCGGCGAATATGTGTCCTGTCCGGATGACCCTTCCCTATCCCGCTCAAAGTGACTCCTCTCCCTCTTGATCCCCCGAATCTCCGTCCCGCGATTGTCCACTACTGACCCTGCTACCACCAACGATGAGTGAGAAACCCCGGGTGTAATCAATGACTGTGGATTCTGCGGTTGTACGTGCTGTTGCTGCTGTTGTTGATGTTGTGGCTGCTGTGGTTGCGAAGCACCAGTAAGTGTGGAATTAACACCCATAAAACCCTGATTCTTGAGGGTGACGAAGACATCCTTAACGAATTGCGCGGTATCTGTTGAATTCCACCCACCGGAGCAAACGTATTAACCCTTACCACATCCAGGGAAAGAAGAGGAGAGAAAGACACGGGGAGCAAATACGATCATGAAGAAAATCATCCAACTGCTCAATACACAATTTTTGAACCTCCTCCTGGGTCTGATCATGTCTCAACAAGGCGAGCACGTAATCCGCCAGGACATCCGAATCAGCGTCGGAACTGTTTTGTTCACATTAACATCGCCACTTTCCCGAAGCACAGTACAGTACAGTAGAGCACAGCACAAGATGAGGGAAGGGGAAGGAGCGGGGTGGTGGGGGGAGGAGTAGACATACATATCCTCCAACCGTTTAATAATCCATTTCTTCAATAGCGCTGCATCCTCTTCTTCGAATAACATTCTCGCTCTCTTCTTCCTTCGCCTTTCTACAAAAGTGACGGCTAGGAGGTGTGGTTCCGTTCCCCTTCCTTGCCCGCTCCGAGTCTGGCAAGCTGGAGATTCTAACCTTCCCTATTCTACTCCGTTCTGCTTCCCCTCGTTGCTGTTGTTGTTGTTGTTTGCTTCGGTCGGAGCGTGTTGGGTTGAGTTGACTTAAGAGCTGAGTGCTGATTGAGGCAGAGGGGGTAAAAAGGAAGAAGATGGCCCTTGCGAACGCTAGTTGGTTAGCGTGTCTGTCACCGGGGGAGGAGAAGGGGGGCAGGTTGTGGAGTTTGGGGTAGTGAGGTGTATTGTGGGTGTAGGTTGGTAAGCAAGGTTGTAGGTTGTGGTTGTGGTTGTGGTGGTGATGATGATGACGGGTGGATGGATGCCCTCTGCCCTCTAACTTAGCAGGAAGAGAGAGAAAAAGAAAAAAAAATGGAAAAATGGAAAAAAAAATGCGGTTTACTTTGCTGGCTTCGCTTACGGGAGGAGAGGTATGGTTGCGATCACTCGTTTCTCGCCAGATTCTCGGAAACCACACGAAACCCCAGTAGCCGCAATGCAGCTGTCTCAAGCCTCCCTCGCTCGCATACTTTGACGTGCGACGGGGAATGAGAAATAATTGGCCGCGACAATCATACCTACCATACCGCACTTAGGTACAACATAGAAATGCTTCATACAAAGCAGCATTTCCAACACATAGACTGAAATACCCAAACCACACCACCGCCACTTATCAAATTTCTAGAACGAACAGAACGTGGCAACCGACCAATCCTTAACCTCTTTTTTCTTCTCGTCTTCTCCTCCTTACAGGCAGATGGCAGGTATACGACCAAATCTGGTTGGATCATGCCCTGTCACCCCCTTATGTTCCATCCCGTACCCTAAATGCACTTCTCTAACTAGCCAATCCCTTCCTTCATCGAATCTCACCACGTCTTTGTTTTGCTGTTCCTCCTGCCTCACACTTCTCTAAAACCCTCTAACGCCTGCGCAAGCCAGTCCAGACCAGCCAGCCAATTCCAAACAGCCTGTCCCTTTTTTTGCACTCCACCCCCTCTTTTTTTCCCTTCCTTTCTATCCTTACCATTATAATTAGTTCCAACAGGATCCCGAGCGGACTTCAACGGACATCATCAAATTCGTCATCACTGTCGTATCATATCAAGTTGAAAGGAATATAACAAAAGAGAATGAAACAAGACGGTTGGAACATGGACATGAAGAGAGAGAGGAAGAGAGGGAGAGGGAGAGAGAGAGACATTGAGATCAGAAGATAAACCGCCACCACCACCACCACCGCATCACTCAAATGACCCAACCCCCGTAAAGATGAAAAAAGAATTCGTAAAAATGAATAAAAAACTAACCCACGACAAATTAAAAAACCTGAACATCCAATGCATCCCGTTAACTCCCCAGTCCAGTACTACTCCTGTTTCCCGCAACCCCCAAATCAAAGAATTAAGATAAAAGGGGGGGGATCTTTTTTTCTTTAAAAAAAAAAATCCCAAAAAGAAAAAGAAAACTTAAAAGGTAAGCAAAAAGAAAACAAAAAAGGTGAGGAGAAAAAAAAAAGATTTATAACACCCAATTTGTTCAAAGTTCCCTAGTACCTATCAAGAAGCTGTCCAAAATAAGTAACCCCTCCAGAGCGAATCATAGGAATTTTCAAAAGCACACAACCAGCGCAACAGTAACTTGACAGCCGCCACAAAAAAAAAAAAGGACGGGCAACGATTCTAGCCCCGAATCGTGGCGGCGCTGCTACTACTTGCTCCCATCCTCACCCTTCCCCCGCCAGTACTAACTGCCCCTGCAGGCCTCGATGAAGCGTTTCCAACATCCCCCCTGTGCCTGGCAGCCTCGGCGACCCTTTCGACGGGGCTTATATTGGCGCTTCTGCCCCCTCGGTTCTTTAATCCAACGCTGCGGCCGTCCCTGGCCCTCTCGTTCACCGAATCGGGACCGATATCTTCGTCCGTCAGATCATCCTCGTCCTCGTCGGCACCACCCCTTCGTATCGTTACACCAAGCCCCTCCAGCCCAGTCCTCTGTTGCTTATGGCGCGGTCTATCTCGAGGCCATGTGGTCGCATTGCGAGCATAATTGTGCCTGGTTCTCGACGGGGGCTGGGTGGGTGAGGGGAGAAAAGTAGCAACAGGTGGCTGTGAATGCTGGCTGTTTTGTGCCGACGATATTGTCTGCTGGGATGATGGACGAGAATTGCCGGGCGACGACAGAAACATCAGACTCTCCACGGCATCCTGTTCCATTGATCTCTGCGCTACCAGTGGGGGCGGGGTATCCGCTACCATTGACCCGATTGACGCATTGGAATATGTGCTGTAGTTACTCAGGTTACTACCGGCAGTTGTCAATGTTGGCGGGTTCCGGGGAGGATTGTAGTATGACCGTCTATCCCGATCAGATACAATCTGGGCGGGGGGCTGTAAACCGCTCCCACTCCTCTGAGATGAGTGAGATGATGATGGCGTCGTGGGTTGTGGTGTATGAG